GGAAAGAAAATAAGCGCCGACCGTGATGGATTCACAGAGGGAGGGCGTGAAGGGAGCCCGCTGTCCGTGAATGATCTGGGAGATGTGTCCACGCCGTAGGAAATGTGCCGCTGCTGTGCTGAACGTGGGAACGTCGGCTCGGGGTTAAGTTCTGATGGAATCTGCTTATTGATTTGGTTGTTTCCCCCCCCCCTCCCGTCTCCTTCCAGCGTCTCCGTCGCCAGCCAAGCAACGAGCGAAAATGGACGACATAGTGGTGGTGGCCCCAGGAACGCAGTCCTCCCGGAATGTCAGCAATGATCCAGACGTCATAAAACTGCAGGAAATTCCAACTTTCCAGCCCCTTTTGAAAGGTAAGCGATTGTTGTTCCTCTGTTTTTAATTTTTTTAAATTTAAAGATTGTTATTCCTCTGGTTTTTTTATTGTGCCTAATGGAGCATGTGCTTTGTGTATCCTGAGGTTCCTACTGAAGTTTGTATTTCTGTCCCTATTTTTCCCTATCCCCCTTGTTTTAAATCTTTCTTTTGTTCTTTAGTAATTACTTCCAGCCTTCTAAACGGTGGATGAGATGGTTTAGAAGCGTGCTCACAACGTTCTGTGCAGTGGTACAATCTACTGTGGGCACAGCACAGCTCCAGGCATGCCAGCTTGTCCTAGACCACAGGTCGATGAGAGATGCTGCGTGACGTTCTCGTATATGATGGATCGCAGTCTTAGTTTCGCTCTAGGCTCTTAAAAGCACCTGTGTGTTACTCTCCCAGAGTTGTAGCTACCTGTGTGTGGGTTCAGTTGCTTGAAATCAAGATATCTTTTGGGGGTTTCCAACTCAGAGCAGATTTTGTGCTTGTTTTTTGGGATGGGGTGCGTGGGCTGAGGCTTGTGTGGATCCTTAAGCCCTGTGTTGACAACATCCCTTTATAGAAGTGGACTTCTTAAACTCCCACCGCGTCTGTCCTCTGTTTCTTTTCCTCCCACTCTTTCTTTGTTTCTTCCCCTGCACCTATTCGTTGTTCCTCCTATGCTGTTCAAAGGGAAGTGAAGATTTAAATCAGCGTTGTCAAGCCTACAGTTTGCCAAAACCTGGCTGTGCGTTTTGTGGCCTGGCTTCTAGCTGCCTCTTCTTCTGGAGGCTGTGCAGCGTCCTTAGTGTCTGAAAGTCGCTGAGGAGGGAGGATGCCTGGAGCAGCCGGTCAAAGCAGCGTGCTCCTGGGCTCCTCTCCCTGGAACGGCGTGGCTCAGCCGGCTCCTGTAGCGGGCACTCAGTGAGCCAAGGTATTTTTGAAAATGGGAGGCCTGCTGTGCGTGTGTTCGTTGGCTGCAGCACTTGCTCGTGCCTTGCGGGCCCGCTGCGACAGAGAGGAAGGAGCTGGGGTGTTTCTCCTTCCCTGCTGCTGGAAGCAGTGATGTGGTCTTGTACAGCTGAGGGTTTAGGCACCACTCGTCTGAGTGTCCCCAGTTGGTGCAGGGCTGCTGGGAGATGTGGCAGCCACTTTGCCCTGCAGGCATCACTAGGAGTGACAGAACATCACTTTTTGGACAGAAACTCTTTTATTTCTCTTTTTTGTGCCTACCGCATCATGGCTCTGGAACATGACGGTGACTAGAGCTTGTGGACACTACAACAGCCCAATATGCCAAATATTTGGCATTTTATTGGGTGCTGCTAGATAGGGGTCTAGGTGTGCGCAGCACTGACTGCTGTTTCCAGCTTCTGGTGGAAGACAGGGAGGCCACTAAATTGGAGAAAAGAAAACATGGATATTTTGGGGGCTGGTACTGCAATCCCTCTTGACCAAGGAGAGTGTGTGTGCGTGTTGGTTATTCTATTTTTTTTTTAACTTGACAGAGGGTGATGTTGTAGAAATCTGTATTTGATTTATTCCTGATGCTCTCACTGCCATTTTAGAGCGCACTGTAAGATTGCACAGCATTCATGTCAGCAGCAGGCTAGGTCATTACCTGTGGGCAGGTCATGCTTTGCCCGAGTCCTGCCTTGTGCGGAAGGGAGAACCTGGATCTCACCGTGGCAGTTTGGAATCTGAATGCTGGAAACCCAAATCCACAAAAGGAATAAGGAAGTTTTAATCTGAGAGACTAAATTTAGAAGATGCATTAATAACATCTGGCACTGAGGTCGTTGTGCATATGTAAGAGCGTGATGACAGAAGAGTTTCAGTTCCACCCAGCCTCGAACTGTGGTGAGCAAGTGTGGGTTGCACAAGAGCTGTGGAAGTCCTGGGAAGCAGGAGTGGTGATTGCTTTTGGAGGCAGTGTTCCTGTATGGGTGTCTGAGGCACAAGGAGACAGGGCTGGAGATGGGAAGTGAGAAAGAAGAGATAGCAGCACCCCTGTGGCTGAGATAGAAAGGTTGGAAGGCACTGCCTC